CCCACCAGGAAGCAGGAGATCAACAAGGCCAAGGCAGCCACTAAATCGAGACCCAGATACCACTTAGAACTGGAAAGCTTCATTCCCAGGATCACAACCGGAACTAGGGCACGGGACCGGCAAAGCGAATCGGACCCAATTGCTAGGACGGGACGACCCATCCTGGAACCAGGTCGACCCCGRGACRCYAACTCGTCCCGAAGCAGATCGCCAACAAAGAAGCAACAGAAAAGAGTAAACTCAAGTATCGATCAGCCAACACCAGGTGGTCCGGAGAACGAGATCATCGTAAACTTGAGCAGTCAGAGGCCTAGGCGAACAGCTGCTCCGTCCAGGAGAGCATTAGAAACACTGGACGCCAATAGACAGATCACACAGCACAACAGCCAGTCAATGGAAATCGACGGTCAAGAATGTTAATAGAAAACACGCTTACAATATTACAGTACAACGTCAGAAAGTCAAGAGACACAGTCATGGCCACGCTTCTACGAGATCCTGACATAGGACGATACGACATCCTCGCCATCCAAGAGCCTTGGAAGAACCCGTTTGACACGACAACTCATCATCCAGCCAAGGATAAATTTCACTTATGCTACCCAGACAAGGACCAGGATTCCCCAGCGAGGGTCTGCTTTTTCATCAACAAGAGACTTGATCACTCCAAGTGGCACTTCAAAGTGGAAAGCAGGGATCTCTGCTCTCTAGATCTAGAAGTCGGAACGGAAGAAGAGCAACATATCGTGATACATAACGTATACAACCCTACACAAGACGCCCCAGAGAGACGAGGTACGCTTCCACTTCTGGACCAAGTCTTAGAACTCTCATCACAACATGAGCAAGTTATCGTCGGCGACTTCAACCTCCACCACGAGCTATGGGGAGGTGATCGGGTGAAGCGGGCAGACCCTAACGCCGCCGAGCTCATCACGATCATGGAAGATCACTACCTCACCAGCAATCTTGCTCCAGGTACCATCACATACGAAGAACGTGACGGAAGAACCACCATAGACCTATGCCTCACAACACCTGGCCTCGTAGACAGACTAATTCGATGCGAGACCGCAGCTGACATGGACCACGATTCTGACCACCTACCCATCGTCACTTCACTAGACCTAACCGTTGTCCAACTACCAGCCAAGGTCAGACGGAACTGGAAAGCCATAGATGAAAAGGCGCTTGCCCGCTGTCTCCAGCGCGAGCTTCCGCCACAGCGAAGACCAAGAACAAGAACGGCTTTAGACAGATATGTGAAGGAAGTGATGGCAGCCATATCGACGGCTGTCGAAGAAGCAGTTCCGAAGACGAATCCGTCAACGAGATCAAAGCCAGGGTGGAACGAAGAGTGTGCCGAAGCCTTGGCAGAATCAAAACGACTCCGTCGACAATACAGCTTATATCACACCGAAGAGGCATGGGAAGCATACCGAGTAGCGCGTAACCGCAAAGGCA